GTTACTTTTTCTCCTGGTCAAGAAATCACTTGATGAATTCGCACCTGTTGCGCAGAGGAGAAACTTCCAGAAAAGAGATCGCCGGTGCCTCAGCTTACCGAAGAAATTTCTGACCAGCCAAGCCTCAAAGAGTCGTAATTCCGAATCCCATTCAGCCGCGGTGAATGGCAAACAGACTTTATGGCCAAGACGTCCGAGTAGTATGGACTGTAACAAAACCATTTGCCAGGATCGTCAAATTTTCGTCAAGAACAAGCATGCTGAATGAAGAAATAAGAAGCATGATAATGAAGGACGTTGCATCAGTTTCAAAAGAATGAAAATTGTGGGAATTTCGCATCTCAAGTCTGGCGGGTTCTTAGCCAAGGGGTTGGAAACTTCCAGTTGGAAGGCGATGAATTAAAAAATGGAAATATAGAAGCTTGTGGCAACGAATTGCACGAGACAGACGAGCGTGGGCATCGATAGTTGTTAACGGTGATTCCCGTTAATTACCGAAAAGGATTAGTCAGTTGTATCCATGATCAAGACACCGGAGGTGCTTCTTGCAGACGCGTTGTAGAATCACACGAGACGTCAGCCATGCGCAGGGCCAGGGTCAGGCGATTAGAATAACTCATCACTTGATTCTATCGCCCATTTTAGTTTGCTATGTTGGTAGCTTATCAGAATCATTGGCATAAGCCGCTGTTCCATCGGTCCGTGAGGAATCACAGGCTACGAAAGAGACGAATTGTTGAATGTCACCGGAAGAAGTGAACCATGATTGAGACTGTTGCAAAATAAGGCCAGCTTAGATTTGTTGTGGCAACAACAGTTACTTTTAAGTGCAGCATTCTTAAGGTTCATTTCATCTTGCCTTTAGGTGATCTTCACCTTATTTGTAGAAAAAGTCACTCAGCTGAAATACGCACTTGTCGTTCAATTGTTTGCACCTATTGCCATTGTCATCGGTTCTTGTTGACCAGGTTTTTGCTGAACATTTTAGGTAATTCACAGTTTTAACTGATTATATAAAAACGAAATAAAATAAATTTCTAAAGTTGGTACTTTTATTTACTTTAATCTTTAATTGTTCAGTTTAAAGTAATGGATAAACTTGCGAATGCGTTTATTACTGGTTTTAACTGCGATATATATTCATTAATAATTAATTCGTTAGTGAATAATTTTAATGTTATTTCTCATTTTAAATTTTCATCTGGGTTTATGATCAGAACAGATTTTTTTCTTAATAGAACTGCTTTAATCAGTGCTAGGAGCCTGCCAGTTCTGATTTTCACTGCGTCGTTGATCGACCTTTTCTGAGTTCACTACAGATCCTTGAGACTACTGTAGTGACTCAGGAGCATGCACTTCATATGCTTCGCCCCAGTCGTGTAATTCATTCTTTTGGTGGCTAGCTGCTATTTTTG